AGGTCTCTGAGGGCCCGCAGCTCTGACAGTGAAGTCAAATAAAGTGAAGGCTGGCAGACTTTGGGAAAATGATGCTCAAAACATCTGTCAAAACTTCTGAAATCATCAAAAGAGAGTCTTTCAAAAACTCTCACGCTCAACACTTATAATTATGTTTAATGGAGCTACTGCACTGCATCAACTGATAGAGATAGATTTGAACTACTCTTTAGAGTCTCCTTTCTGATAAGAGTGATCCCAGTGCAGGTACTAAGCATCTGAAAGTAGTCTGGAGACATCACAAGTCTGTTTGTTTTGGTTACAGCAACCACAGCACAGACATATGTGGGTACAAGATGAAGCAAAACTACTCAGAGGAGTGACTGATAGCTTAAAGAGCCATAAACACCGGCAACTCCTCACTGTGCACCTCTTAACTTCACTGTACGTGGTGATAAAACACAGAGATCTATTGGTATCAGCCCTACCCCTAAATCATACCGTCATCTCCTTCCTCCCTCAGTGTGTGTGTGTATGTGTGTGTGAGGCCCTGAGTGTGTGCGGCTGCCATCGAGGAGGCGTGAGGCGTGAAGGACGGCCGGCCGTACACGCCACACAGGAGATCCCCGGATTAGTCACGCTCGCCGGCTCTCTGCTGCTGCCACCCTCTGCTGCATCACCGCCGTGCATCCAAATACAGTCTCAAAACAGCAGCGGCGAGATCAGCGCTGCACTCCCCGCCATCATATGCACACAGTGGAAATAAACAGCAATCTCTACCTCAGTGTTGGGCAGTGGCCTATTAATACTGCAAATAATATAGCAAAACACGTGTGCGACTTATACAAAGGACTTGACAGTGTATAAAAAATGTCTGTTGATTGATGCAACATAACAGATGAAGTATTTTAAATGCATTCATTTCTATTCATAATCTCTAGCACCATCTCTCAAGCTATAGTTTGGTGCTTTAGATAATAAAGAGTCTTTTTAGTGAGATCTGGGAGAGGTCCAAAATGAAATGCACCTTTTGTTGCATTGCTCATATCAGATTTTTGCTATTCTGCAAGACTGCAGAGATTGTCCAGATTTTTTTCCAGCTAACCAAGAAGTCAAGAGAAGAAAACACGAAGAAAACAGTCAAAACAAGGGGTGGCTTATGTTAGCAGAGCTAGCACCACCAGACTTGGGTCCTCCCTGCAGGTTCTTATCCACACCCACTGAGTATGTTTTGGTCTAAAAGTGGTCTAATAGGTATCTATATGTAGCCTAGACGACGGGTCTAAAATCAGGCTACCACAGGTCTAAAAATGAAAGTGTTTTAGATGTCTAAATTTAGACCAAGTTTAGACTAAATCTAAATCTGGGCTACATCTATACTACACTGTATATTGCTCAATGGCAATCATAGTTATTTTGGATAAGTACTTGGAGATCAGTTATGCAACTCACAGTTGCTTTTTGAAATAAACCGAATAATAGGTTAAAGTGCAACGTCTAAATTCTGTCTTAAAATACACAGAATCTAGACGGTTAAAATTGGTCTATTGCTCAGTGGGCATGCTTGTGCTGGTCGAGAGATATATACCGGTTTAACTTAAATTCAGTTTAATCCAAATTTTCTGGATCAAAATACTGCGAAATGCCGTCTGTCATCTGCGCTTGTTTTCATCTGGGTGGTAGACCATCCCACCATTCATGGAGGACTGAAGGTGATGGTACCACAAGGATATTAAACCCCAAATGTAGAATACGATCCTGCAGAACAAGGTGTAAATAAGTGCTGTAATAACTGATAATTGACTTCCATTGTTCTACCAAAACACCTGTAAGTTAATAATTCATGTGTTACCTCATCTGAACCCTTACTGAAACCATAATATTACCATAATATGAACTATGCAAACCTTTGTCATACCTCCAGTAGTGTGGTATTGTTGATTTGCTGCAGTTTTTCTCTTTCTCTCACTCTGTTGTTGTTTTCTTTGTAAGCCCGTGTGAACTCAGCACTCTTGGTGTGAATAAGACATTAATAATAAAACCACTATTCTATCATTTTTGCAGCTACCACGTCTGTTAGTAGTAGACGGAGTAACTGCGGGGATGAAAGAAGCCTTGAAGAGATAAGAAATCTCAAACACAGTCAGGGAGGACCGTAATCTCTATTTACAGATTCTGCATGAAATGAAGAAGCTGCAGACACGAATATCAGATGTATTCTTGTTTCTGTTTGTGCTATGAGAATTATTGCTCACTAGCATTTCAGCAAGACTGAAAATGGGTCTATGTGGACAGAAGACAATCAAAGTTTCATCTGTCTGTTCAGGATGGTTCATGTTTCCTACGCTCAAGGAGGCAATAAGGGAAGTAATGAAGCTCCTTTTCTAAGCATTAGGGGAGTTCGAAAAAGCTCTTATTATCGCCGACACCGGTCGTCTCACTCGGTTAGGAAACTTCTTAACCAAAAAAGGGCGATTCGAACAGACCAAAGAAATCCATCTCACTCCTCAGTTTGCAGTCAGACTGTAAATACGGCAGCGCTGAGAAGGAAGTCTTTCATCACTTAACACCTACACCCCAAAGTTCAGACATCGGCCCCAGAAGCTACAGTATATTACTGTCAGGGGGTAAAAAAACAACAGCAACAAAACAAATGGACTCCTAGATTGAGGTGGATGGTGACCTTTTCTGCCAGCACACTGAATCCAAACTTTTCACTCTAATACTACAGACGACAAAGCTCAGAGGAAACACTAGTGCGAACATATTTACATGCAATCCAAGTAAAGAAAGTGCAGCAATGCCAACGCTCCTCCTCATGAGGCATCATAATTGTGATCATCCGATGTAACGCACACAATGAGTCCCCGGAGCTGTGTGCTAACCGTTTCTGCTGCCAGCCTGGAGGGTGTAATTATAACTGAAAGTGGCTGTAAACCGATGCATCAGTGGTATACAAGCACCTCCTAAAGCTCTTCTACGGCCAGAGAGCAGGAATATATATTTATAGTGGCAGGTTGACTGAGCAGTAAATAGCAGGAACTTCAGTTGAGAGTTACAACTAAGCCTCACCACATTCATATCCGGAGCCTCTGCAAATATCAGCTCTGCATCAGCCACACCTCCATCTCCACACTTCTTTTTCTGGAGTCAAACATGTAATCTTCTGAGGAGGCTGAAAACCTCTTTTCTTTTCTCGCCCTTAGTATTTTGCAACAGACGAAATGTCTGAAATGGCACGTCCCGAGCACAGTTAGACTCATTACTGTAGTAAATGTAGACAGCAAGAACATGAAGGTGTTATCGCTGCAACCTGTAATTTCCTTAAAAGATTGCAAATCCCGCTGAGGACCAGAGTTGACTGCACGGCTGCAAACCCCATTTCACCCTCCGTCTCCACCAATTCCCCGTGCCACATCCAGTCATAAAAAAGCTCTTCTCACCCAGTGTACATTAACTTATTAAAGTGCTCCTCTCTCTGGCCCATTAATATTCCCTCAGTGCATAAATGACAAACAGTAGCCTTAGACGCACTCTGACTTTAGATGAATCAAAACGAGTAATAAACAATATCTGAACACTTCCTGCAGCTTGGACACAAAATGATAAGAAATCATTTCAAAGGGAACACGGCCGAAATGTCACTTTGGGTAGCAAATGTGAATATCAATCACGCCGCAGATGAAAGGACAGGAAAGAGACCAAAATAAAGCTGAAAGAGTGCGTTTCTGCAGGATTAAACAAGTGATTAACTTTGATAAATTCGCCTCTATCTTAATTATTTCAAGGAACAGGACAAACAAAACCACTGGGCTGTCAGCCAGCAGTCACTGCCTTCAAATGAAAACAAAACACCGGTTTTGCTGAGGTGCAAGCCACACAAAGAGAAAACTCAGAAACAGAGAATAAAATAGTGAATTTACAGGGAGGGCTGGGAGTTCATGGCTGTGGTCCGTTTGGCCCTCAGAGACAGTCTGTGTGACTCCTGGCTGGCGAAGCCTTATTAAAATCCTCCTTTTGCACATTCAACACCACTGTCAGGAAAAGTTAGCCCAAAACTTTTTCAGGAGATTTTAGTTTCCATGCAGCTAAAGGAGCAGAGCAGAGTCAACTCATAGTGTCTGCTTTTCAGGGAACACTTTCATCCTCAAATCGCAGTCGGGGCGAAGTCTAACTAACAAGTCACTGGCCGGTTAGTTAGTGTCCAAGTTTTTTAAACCCGCCCACAGAGAAAGCTTCAGCAATGACTGCATAAATCGAGAGGAGGACTCGGCTGTATAAATCATCTATTCAGTTTACAGAGAGGACTGTCGTGTGCAGAATAAACAAACAACTAAGCATTCGTTTAACCCATTAGCCTGGTTTATGCTTCTGCATGAGAGAGGACATAGTGGGACAAGAAAGTAGCGACATGACGGGCATGTATCGCACTGCTGACCAGAGTTTAGGTGGAATATATTAATGCAGTTGCTCTGACACACAAGTAAGTAGCTTTGGCGCGGATCCAGAATCAAATCCAGACTTTAGAAAACTTTAGAAAAAAGGGAAACAGCTGAACTGCTGAACCTAAAAAGTCAAAACAATCAGTATGATCCTCTGCGTTGTGGTATTCTGGTATTTTTTTCCCTTTATTGTTAGTATTATCCGTATTTTTATCTTTTGTCAATTGAAGCTGTCTCTATACTTTCCTTTTCATTTTGATATCATGCAAATGTACTGTACATTCTTCTTTGTATATTTAAAATACAAGATAGAGGGGGCGAAAGAGGGATGATGGGGCCATGAAAATTTCATGTTTGTAAGGTTATGCCATTATCCTCTGCATTAATTTACTTTAATTTATTTACTATAGCAAAGAAATTGATGTATGATTTGCTATAAAAAGAATTTTCATTTTTCGGATGATGCATACCAGTCAAACTAAATAAATAAAAAGTTGGTCAAAAAAAAAAAGTCACTACAAGGGTTTATAATTCACTGTTTGACATTACAGTGGTAAGCTTCAGTTGCTAACAGTCATACTTACGGTGGCCCTGAGGTGCAAAACACAAAGGCAAATAAGAAAAACACAATGACATTAGCCATTGTGTGTTTCTGATTTGCCTTTGTGTTTTGCACCTCAGGGCCACCGTACATATATTCAAAAATATTTTTTTGAGTTAAGGAACAAAAGCAAATTATTCAGTTTAACCAGGTTTTTATGATTTCTGATTGAAATTCGAACACCAAATTTGACCAACTCATGCAGCTTTTTTTTATAATATATTCACAACATTTACTCTGTTTGTTGATCCACTCTAACTGGAATAATTGCATGGATAAAAACAGCATTATCCAACCAAACCAGGACACCTGTGAGCCATTAAACCAGGATTTTATAAAACTAGTGATCAAAGTGTTTTTTTTTTAAATGGCCATCCACACCGTGAAGGTACCAGACACTTTTAGTTTCACTGAATAAAACCTCAAAGCAGTTCATTTATAATCAAAACTGAATCTACAATGGCAAAAGTGAACGGAAATCTGTCAAACAATCTGACAGGCCTGTATTTTAGAGTTCAGCCTCACAAAGCCCGAGAACACGAGAGTTTAATCACCGAGTTTAGGTTTTCAGAGGTCTTATTAGTTCACACAAGGCACGCTCGCACAGTGACAGTCAACTATAATTGGTCCCTTGCCAGCAGATTAATATGCATTCCCGCTCTATTAAAATGGCCTTTTTCAGCGAAGCTCCAGAGAGTTAATTAAAGCGCTGCCATTTTGAAAAGGGTCGAGGATTCAGGGATGAAACTACCCGTGATAGGAGAGGTGGATGGATAACTGCGCTGTCCTTATGTTGATGCACTTAACCCCCTCTCACTAGTGTTTACTCTTAAAAGCTGAAGCTGTTGAACCCCGATTGTTGCGCATGTTTATGTTATGAAGGTCGGCTGCGGAAGTTTTGCTCAGAGAGGTCGAGTTGAACGTGCTCTTTTGAAAGAAAAACCTCCAGCACATGCAACACTTGAATGCAAACAGCAGCTGTGTGTTTGTGCCTTGGAAACAAGAGGTGAAAGGTCACTCAGTGAAGGAGAAAGAAAGTGCAAATTTTTTTTTGCAATAAATGGAGTTTGAAGCTCGGCAGAAAGAGAAGATTTAAAAGTCACATTTGAGGTTTTTTGCCCTGCAATACTTTGCTTGTGAAATTTCTCTTTGTAATTTTATATCAGCAAGAAAGATCTCTCAAAGGTTTCCAAAAAGGAATAAAATTGCTTTGATAAAACTTTGGCGGAGACCTTGGTTCAAAAAGTTCTCCGATAATAACCTCTGGATGACTCCTGGTCAAACTGTAGGATGCTTGACGAGAAACTCAGCCTGTGTCTGTGATTTCACCTCCCTTCAAGCTAATCTGGAGTGAACAGTCGGCCCACAGATGGCCAATTCTTCCCACCTTGATGAATCATTAAGGAGGGATTTGTGCTTCAAAAACAAACCAGCAGCTTTTGTGCTTTTAGCTGCTATCAGGCAGGGGAGCAGGGGGTGATAGTGAGGAATAACTTGGCATTTCTTTCCCAGCAACTCTGCCCCTCAGGGGGATGGTGGAAAAGGCACAAATCGGTGGAGAATCACAGCCTGAGGGAGGTGGTGGAGGTGAGTTAATCTCCTGTCCCAGAGCTTTCAATAAGTGCATGTCAAACCCTGGCTGTCTTCACCATTTTCTGCAAATTTTATCCGCTAGTCTTTAAATCTCCCCTCTTGCTGAGTCTAACAGCTGATACCTCATCCCAGTCTGGGTTGTAACTCCTAGTAGAGGTGCACAGATGCAGCCCTGGTGATGTACTGCTCCTACAAGAACAGCAAGCGCAGTAGCTCAGTTCCATTAAATAAAAAAAAGTACCAGACCAAGACAGAAACAAAACCTGACCTGGAGTTGGGATCCATTTTAGCTGCCAGAAACAAGATTAACCTCAGCCGCGGAAAGGAACAACGTAGTAGTGACTCAGGGTTGTCGTAAATCAGCGGCTAAAGAGAGTCTTCTTGTCAAAGAGACTGAAGAAAGGGGCCGACTGGTTTGCCGTTTTGTGTTTTGTTTTATTCTGAATACAGGGCTTCCACTGTTTCAGTTCACAGCTCCCAGGAAACCGACATCAAGGCCTGGATTGTTTGTTAGGTGGCGACGAAGTTTAACCCTCTTTGAAACAAAAAACATCAGTACTTAAGAAAACAGCTGAAAGAAAGTTGCTGAAAAGACCTTTTGTACCCCCAGCAGTTACTTAGATCGGAGACTGTGCAGCAAAGAACTAACTTATTCCTGTCATTCTTAACAGCAGAACTGGATTTATAATAGATGGTTCAAGCAAAGAGAAGCAGAAAATATCAAATCCAGCAGTAAATCTGCTCAACTCTCTCTAAATAAAAACTGACACCTGAGGCACTTTTTCCCTCAGTCTCTACTTTTTGAATGCATCGTTTGTAACACAAGCTTTGCAGAAACTTTCATCATGTGACGATAAGTCGATTTTAAGTATGGCAGCTGTAGTATCAATCTATACCTGAAGCAGATATAGTCTACAGCTCAGTTTCCTGCAGCTGCAAAGAGATGCTTTGAAATAATTAGAGGGAAAAGAGACATGACGACATTTTTCCTCCAGAGCATCACTTAAAGCAACATCTTTTTGTGTTGATGGCACCAGTTGATCACTTTAGGATCAGAGTGACTGTTTTAAGATCAACCTTTACTACTATTGAGCTTCAGTGATGTTGTAAAGATTCAGTGATGCTCAAGCTGCAGCATCTAATCAATGAATGGCATTCGATACCAGGGCATGTCTTTAAGTTAAAGTCTTTTCCTCTTTTCTTCACAATACGAGTCTTAGACTTTTGTCTTTAAATGAGAAATCCTCTTGAGTATGCATCAGACCTGGGTCATAATTCAAGAGCCAGAAACTACATCCAGACAGTGGACTGCACCTGCAGATTAGGATAATAATCACACTGTGTTTTGGGCTTACTCATCGACATGAATATTTGATGATATAGTTGTAATGTGAACATGAATTCTGCCTCTGTTCACAGTAATTCCTGCTCTCCCTTATTAACTTACCTCTGCATATCAAGTCCTAATTGTCCCACTGCTGTGATTTTGTCATAACCAGAGCTCCAAGCTGATTTTTTCATTATCTACAGACAGTAAAATTTTGGAAGCTCATATTTTTTATCGGTAGTCAAAACCTGATTGAACTGAGGTTGAATACAGCAAGTGTGTAATAGTTTGCAGTCTCAGACGCTGGTGTTTTGATGCAAATTGTGACCCTGTCAACTGCCGACTATTGACTAAATGCACCTCTAGTAAATACTTTGAGTTTTGATGTGGATTCATTCATAAACATGATTTTGATAATGTTGTTTTTTAAGGGGTCTATGACGCACAATACACCTGTATGAAAAGAGGATGGACTTACCAGTGGTTGTGGGGAAAAACCCATTCAAATATCAGGACCGGCTGACATCTATCACTCCAGAGGCACAACACTTGGGATGCAACACCTAAAAAAACAGAGAAACACATTTCAGACTTCTGTTTAATATAAGTAAAAAACAGCTGGCCAAGATTTGTCGCAGAATTTGGCGTCTTTAGGAAAGAAATGAAACAGAGAAGTCTTATGTTGCAAATGTTGCATTAATTTTGTAAAGCATTGGTCATATGAGTAAAAAGTGAAGGCAGTTTGCCGTGTCTGCAGTGGCCGTCGTTTACTGCTGACTTTGGCTCTGATAAAGACCTGAGGAGGTGAATTAAGATGAATTAACACAGCAAGCCGGGGATATTCAAAGCACACCTGCGTGTAATCAATAAAGACACCCAGCAGTGTGTCCGTATAAAATGTTAATTTAGAGCTTGGAAGTGAGACAAAGCTCGCTGTTTGCCCATTTTACAAAGGTTAGGATTAGTTTTACTAATGTAATGAGAATAAGAATGAAATGTTGAATGTGTGTAAAACTTAATTCATTTGCTTCAAAGCAAAAAAAAAAAAAAAAAGCTGTGGATGTTTTAACATAAAGATGATTATTTATAAAGTCAAACCAGCTCAAATGAGAGTTTCTTAGAATAGGGGCTAAGTCGGCTTGCGTCACTTGTTCCCACTTTTTCCTCAAAATTCATCAGAAAAAGTGGAAATTAAAAAACCTTTTTAAGTAAAAGACATAATATGATTGTGTTTACAATGTTAGCTCTAAAATTACAAGAATGTAATGCAGAAACTTTCTCTGAAATCCACTCCCATCGTGAGACTGACAGCTTTCAGAGGATTAAATCTGAGTGTTCAAGTGAATTCAGGAGCTTTATCCCACAAAGAAGATCCTTTAGAGCAAAAAAGGAAAAAAGTTTAAGGTTGTGTCAGACAGCCAATCAGGTAGTGAGGTGGGTGGGACATGAGGTGAGACAGAGCGACGCAGAGGGAAAGATTCACCCATGATGGATCCAAAGTCGCACACTTTTTAATCATTTTACTTTCTCATAATCCCCACAAACATTTTGAAATCCTGTATTTTATGTACTATGATGGAATCAGTCCACCAGGTGTCATATTTAAAAGGGTTAGCGAGCCTTGAGGTGATAAACACAGCCAGCACTGAGAGCAGGAATATAAAAACAGCAAAGAAAGGATCTGAATAAAAGCTTTGAATGCCGCATGAGCACAGCAGCAGAGGCATGAGGCCCTGAGGTTCAGATCCCGTCTGGTCAGGGGGCGAGACCCTGACAAGATCCTGACAGAGAGAGGACAGGACCTCCAGCTGAGTACCTGACATATTTCTCCATCCCTCCTCTCTGGGCTTTTTGATTCACTCTGTCTTCCTCTCCTTTAGCTCTGTAAGCTGAGTAGTGCAGCTAACATGTGAAAGGTCACAATCAGAGATGAATGATAAAATCGGCAAATAACAAATGCATGAGGAAAATTTGAACCAGGTCTCAGCTCAGTCCTACACACAAACAATTTGACTGTTTGACTGTTTAAACTAGGGCCCGACTGATTTATCGGCAAGCAGATGGAATTGGACAATTTTAGCCAGTTTGAGACTAATTGGTAATCAGCCAAAACTTGCCGATTTTCGACGATTTTTTTCAAAAATAAAATGCGGAGAATAAGATTTAGTT